GCGCTCGGCGTCGCTCGGCGTCGCTCAGCGCTCGGCGGGCTCGGCGTCATACGGCGTCGCTCGGCGCGAAGGATTTCACGACCATCCTTCCGACACTCTCACACCCGGAGGAAAGAGAATTTGTCCGAGGTGCGCATGAGGATGCAAGGGCGCACGCAGTGTAGGGGCATTAGTAGTTTTAAACTAGCATAGGGGGTTATTTACTAAATTAGACCTATACAAAGGAATCTTAGGAATACTGCTATCAGCTGCTCATGTCTCCACAATAATGGCTATTTATTCCTTCTTTTCAACACACTTCAACACTCAACGTGTGGTTCAGAATAGACAATGCCGTGTACAGTATCACCCCAGTTACAAAGCTTGAACCAAAATCCCAAGCCCTAAACCCCAAAGCCCCAAAGCCGTCTGCAGCCCAAGACCTACAGCCCAAGAGACCCTGGTCCTCCCTCTCTAACCCTCCTGCAAGAAGCACGCCCAATCCTGAATCCCATCATCCTGTATTTCAACGGGTTCCTTTAAGCGTGCTCCTTTGAAGGGTGAACTTCTGTAGCAGTTCCGTAAGGTCCTAAGGCTCACCTACCACATTCGTAATTCTACAAGTTAAATGCTCAGCGAACGCTTGCAGGGCTCCAGCCGCCCAATACCAGGCTTCTCAGTTGTGCTTCTTAAAACCCCTGTAAAGCCCCTGCAAGCCAAATATGACCTAACACTCCATAGAGTCTTATATTGTAACACTGCATAGAGTCTTATATCCATATAAAAAACCCAATTAAAAATGCCCTACCCAAGACTGAACTTCCAAGAAAAAACCAACTTGACTCTAAACTCAAAGATGCTAAAAAGCCCTAAAACCCTAAAACCCTCGATCCTAAACTCTAAACCCTAAACCCGAAAACCCTAAACCCCAAACCGATCCAAAAAGCCCTAAAACCCTCGATCCTAACCTCGAAAGCCAAAAGCCATGGGCTGCTTTTTCAGCAGCAACGGTCTCCTCGGGTGCCTCCCGGAGCGCTGCCTGCGGCTTCTTGGTGTTGGAGTAGTTTAGGGTTTTAGGGCTTAGGGTTTTAGGGTTTAAGGTTTTTTGGAGTAGTTTAGGGTTTCGGGTTTAGGGCGTAGGGTGTTGGAGTAGTTTAGGGTTTTCGGTTTTAGGGTTTCGGGCCTAGGGTTTAGTACTTAAAAAAAGCACTTTTTTCGGAGCTGTTCCTTGAAGTAACCGTGATGAAATTAAAGGCTTGTTCCTTAAAGGCACCCTTACGAAAGAACAGTTTATACTTTTCCGTCAACCCTAAACCCATAGGCCCCTAAGTAGTTCCTTTCTTGGGACTACCTTATAGGGGTTCTAAATATTAACCACAAAAAGGAACTACTTAGCGGCCTATGGGTAGACCCTCGACCTTTTTTCTCCCTGGTGAAATGCAACGCCCAGGCTTTGGTGGTTCGCGGATCGCAGCCTCGAGCTTCCAGCCTTTGTAAAGAGGGGCTCCTTCGGTTGATGATATAAATCCTGCATTACTTAAGGAAAATACCATAACTCCCATAGTTTAGGGTCCTTAAGGTAATGCAGGATTTCGATCATCAACAGTTTCATTGGGTTTAGGCGGCTTAGGATTTATGGCTTATGGTTGAGGTTTTCCAGGTTTCGGGTTGAAGGTTTGGCATGGGATTGAGGGTTCAGGCTCTAGGGTTTGTTTGATTCGGGACTTGCTGCGGCTCTGTTCAAGGGCTCAAGTAGTAGCTTCCTTCTCCGAGTATTTTGAGGGGTCCTTAGCAAAGCTGAACAAGAGCCCTGTCTGCAAGGTGGAAAGCCTCTCGCAAAGCCTGGGGTCCTAACCCTAAATCGGAAACTTTAGTGGAACAACCCTATTCAAACATGATACCTTGAACTCTTCCGCTAGACCTTAAGCCCTAACAAACAGGACACCGAACTGCTACTTCGAGGCTGTGTGATTTGGCCTCCACCTTGCTCTACTGCCTGGAAGCCTATCGGCGGCTGCAGGCTGTCAGCCAGACCGGCATGGAAGGAGCCCTGGGTCCTGAACCCTTAAACCCCTACACCCCAAGCCCCAAACCCTAGACTCCCTAGACCCCAAGCCCTAAAGCCAAAAACCCTAAACCTTAAACCCTAAAACCCCAAACCCTAAGCCCCAAACCCCAGACCCCAAAAAACCCCAAACCCCGAAACCCCAAACCCTAGGCCCCAAGCCCTGAGCTGCACTGCCAAGCTTGAGCCTGGAAGCTTTTCGACCCCGGGCCCCGAACCTGAAGGCCCACCAAGACTCACCCCTAAAATCCTAAATACCCTATACTGTATAGGGTTTAGGGCTTAGGCTTTGGGGTTTGGGGTTTAGGGACCCTATACTGTATAGGGTTTAGGGCTTAGGGTTTGGGGTTTGGGGTTTAGGGTATACAACCTTGATGGAAGATTTCTCGTGGCCCTGAACTTGGGTTCTTTCCCACACAAAATGCGTGAAGCCTGCTTCCCCAAAGCTTGATGTGGGTACCAGGATAGGTTTCAGGAAGTTCGGTTTTGAGGGGTCTTAGGGTTGAAAGAAAGCTTAGAGCTTGAGGTTAAGAGTCCAGGGTGTAGGGTTGAGAGTTGCGGGCTCAGAGTTTGGGGCATAGATAAACCCTCGACTCTACACGTTAAACAGAACCCTAATCTACTGAAGCCTGCAAACCCTAAACCCCCATTAAACCCTACAAGCCCTGTAAGCCCTCTCCGTGCTACTCTATACACCCTAAACCCCAATATTATAGACCCTAAACCCCTAAGCCATACCACAACTCTATCTATGAAGCCTAAACTTCCATAAGCCCCAAACCATCCTGAACCCCTAAGCCCTGTCATGAACCCTATCTATAAACCCCTAAACCCCTTACAAGCCCTAAGCCCCGAAAAGCCCTAAATCACCCACTCCAGCCCCCTTTGCAGAAGTTCTCTGGTAAATCACTGTAAACCCTAAACCCTATACACCTTAAGGGCCTTAGACCCTAAGCCCAAAACTCTAAGCCGCCAAGCCCCCTCTGCAGAAGCACTCTGGGTGACCTCGGTGGTAGTTTTGGCGGCCGCTTGGTTCCACATGTGCCATGGCTGAACGTCGTTCATCTAAGGCCGTGCAGGCCCTAGGTTTGAATTTAGGGTTTAGGGGATCAGGGTTTCGGGTTTAGGGTTCAGGATTTAGGGTTTAGGGTTTAGGATTTAGGGTGTAGGGTTTAGGGTTTAGTTTAGGGTTTGCGGCGTAGTTTAGGGTTCCGGGATTGGCTCATAGATGTTTAGCGAAACCTGTTTAGGGTTTGGGTTAGCAAAACGCTACTACTTCCTTATAGTCCCTATATCATAAGAGACAAGTATACACCCCAAGACCTAGTTTTATCAGGTTTGTATATTCAGCCCTGGCCCGCAAATTGGTCTGACACTAAACCCCTAAATCCTAACCCTTAAACCCTAAGCCCGAAACTCTAAACCCAAAACTGGCCCTAGACCCCCAAGCCCCAAAACCCTAAGCTGTGGACCCAAGGCTGATTTTCCACGCCCACTTCAGCCAGCCCGTCCAGCCCGGCAAGCAAAGAGAGGCGGGTTTGGGGTTTAGGGTTCGTCATAACCCTGGCTTTTGGGTTCAGGGTTTAAGCTTTAGGGTTTAGGGTTTAGGGATAGTCATAACCCTGGGTTTTGGGTTCAGGGTTTAGGGTTCAGGGTTTAGGGTTTAGGGTTCGTCATAACACTGGGTTTTGGCTTCAAGGTTTAGGTTTCTAGGCCTGACTGTAGCGGCTGTTAGGTTTCGACACCAGCCATATAATGAATATATGTAACCCCGTACCCCATGATTCGGGCATCTGGAGCTCCAGGTTAGTATGAGAGCGGGGGTTCTGGATCTTTACTCCGGAATGAGAACCCTGCAGAAAGCTTCAATTGCAACTCAAGAGCTGTTTGTGGACAGTTTTCCTTGAGCTTCAAGTGTGAAACTGCAAACAGGGTTTACGGACTGTTTGGGGTTTCGGGGTACAGACAATACCTACTTTAGGGTGAGAGTGCGCGGCCCCAAGGCTCTAAAATCCTATATTTGAAGACTTTGTGGGGACTGCCACACGGTCGATGTTAAACCCTAAACTTGGCCCTAAACCCGAACATTAGACCGCAAAGGGGCAAGGAACCTTGTGAGTGGCTGTCAGGAGGAGATCAAGGGTCGGTCATAAACCCTGAACCCGAAGGTGAATTCATACGCCCTCGGGTTTTGGGGTATGTAGGTGTCTGGGAATTTAGGGTTAAGGGTTCAGGCCCTACGTAGTTCCTGGCCCGGTAAGTGAGCCCTACATTTGGCGTTTAGGGTTTTTGCTAATAAGTGCCACCAGGGAAATCCCAAATATGAGCGAGGTGGACATTTGCCACGTTGGCGCCGGCTTCTGCTGCTTGGTGATCCCCCTGATCTTCGTGCTGGTGTTCGGCCTCTCTTACTGGCTCCTCGAGCTTTCGAATTACTGTAAGGTTACCGCGAGGGCTACTATCCACAAGACTATCATAAGGACGTGAACACTGAGCCCTGAACCCAAGACCCATACAGCTTCATCACTACAAGCCCTAAACCCTAAACTTTGATAACAGTCGATATTAGTGGTCATAATCAAAGCTATCTACATATATATATATGTGCATAACCAGCTTACAAATCTTATCCAGCTGAGGCAGAGCGGGGGAAGTACCCCTAAACCCTAAACCCTTTCGGTCCCATGTTTTGAGCATCCCAAGCCTCCAGGGTCAGACCCGCTTCTAGAAGGGCGTCGGGTTTAGGGTTTAGAGCCCTGGAGGCCCTGAAAACTCTTAATATAGAAGAATTTAGGGTTTAGGTAGAAGCCGAAAGAATTACCGCTTCTATTCCTTAGGGCTCCTTAATGTAACTATACTATAAAGGAGCCCAACACCCTATTCTAATTTTTTTAAGGCGCCTACAGTGCCCAGCAGGCGCTGATACACTCAAGCCCTGAAAGCCAAAAGCCTAGAGCCCTAAACCCGGAAAAACTAACACCCCCAAAAGTCTTCTGAAATCTAAAACCCCAATCCCTAAACCACAAACCCCACAGTCAAGGGACGCGAGCCTAACAACCGAAAACTAAAGCCCCAAGCCCTAAACCCGAACACCCTACCAGCACCCCCCAACTACCCTCCATTATACCCTAAATACCCACTACTACGGACCATAAGGGCTCTATTACAGAGTACTTAGGGGGGGTGCTGGTAAACCCTAAAAGCCCAAACTAAACCTCAAACCCTAAACCTTGAACCCCTAAAAGCCCAAACCTCAAGGAACCCAACGAGCCTCGGTGCAATGGCGAGCGGCTTGGGTGTTTGGCTCGTCCTGGGCTCCTGCTGCTGGGTGGCAAGGTCTTTTGACGCAGTAGGGCTTTTGGGGTTTAGGCTTTGACGGTTGTGGGGTTTGGGGTGTAGAGCACCGCACGAGGCGGTGCGCGGCTTGAAGCTCCGGGCATCGCTTGTGTGTGTGTGTGCGCGTGCGCATGCATGTGTGTGTGTGTGTGGAAATCCTGTTGCCAAGGACTCTGAGTTTGATAATAAAAGCAATTTCAGCATATTAGCTGAGAGCAAGTCAAGAAAGCAGTCAAGAAAGCAGGGGGCTGGCAGCCTATTCCGTGATACCAGCCAACGAAGCTAGCGGAATAGATGGAAAGAGCTATGGACACATAGCTCTGTACCTGCCAATGTTTCACTCGCTGAAGAGATTTATATTTATAATATATACATATATATATATACATAGATATATATGGCCTTGAGGTTCTTATGAATACACAAAGTCCTTTATTGCATCTAAATTTGGCAATCTTGATTACTACTCAGGTTTCACAGGCTCCCATCCAGTAAATGTTCAGTCTATAGGCAAGAAGAGAAAAAGAGATGAGAATGACGACAACCGGCATCGACAGGGATTTACATATCTGTGTGTATAGATTTACGTATGTAAGTATGTATTTAATGTAATGAATTAATATAATGTAGTGTATGTACGTATGTATGTGTGTGCGTGTGTTTGTGTGTATGTGTATGTATGTGTAGATGTATGTATGCAAGTGTGCATGCATGCATGTACGTATGTATGTGTGCGTGTATGTAGGTATGTATGTATGTATGTATGTATGTGTAGATGTATGTATGTATGTATGCATGCATGTATGTATGTATAGATGTATGCATGTACGTATGCATGTATGTATAGATGTATGTAACATAGTCGCATACCTGTTGTCTACAGACCCATGCAGGCATAATGAGCACATGAGTGCACAGAAACGAAACATTGCTCCACACAGATGCTTGCGGCTGTATATGTGCATCATCCACATTCGCGTCTGTGAGCGTAATAGGGATTCGGAAGATCCGAACCATGAGCAAGAGTACCTCTCGATGCGTGAAATATTGAAGCCCCCAAACCCACACAGAAAACCCAAGTCCTCTGTACAACTCCTATGAGAACCCCTCCAAAATCCAGGAATATATTGTCTCTTAGTTGTTGGGAAGATTCGGGTCCTCGGGCTCTGGCTAGGGCAGCGAAGAGTCCGCGAGTTTGTCATCACGGGAGGTTTCAGGGGATTTAGGTTTAGAGGTTTAGGGTTTATGGTTTAGGAAAGTTTCGGGTTTAGTTTAGGGTTTAGAGGCCTTGCCCCCTTCCGGAAAACAAAAAGCAATCTGCACAGCCGCTGCGTTGTAGCATGACTATTCCGTACGGAACAGGCACGCCACCTCGAATGAGCAGGCTTTGTGCTCGAGGATTCCAGCAATGGGAAGGTTTTAGGGTGTGTTTAGGGGGAAGGCATAGAAAGCCTTACACCCTAGACCCTCCGCTTCACTGGATACACCTGGACCTTGTTGTCCCCACAGACAACGAGGCCGAAAATCTGTAAGGCCCCGGTAGCTTAAACACACCAGAGGGGCGCAAATGATCGGAAGAGGTGTTTTGGCTCCTTTCTTGTAAAATCTGTAGAGGGGACAACAAAGGAATGTCCTTTAACACCCTCACCCTGAAGCCCTAAACTGCTCCCGTCTTTGCATGTCTCCCTCTTCAGGTTGCCTTGGCGCGGTGGGGTGGTCCAAGCACCTCTACTTCTTTTTGGGACCCGCTGTGAGACGGTTTAGGGTTTTGGGGTTTTGGGTTCTACTTCGGAGCTTGAGCCCAAGCATGCCGTCATAGACCCTTATTTGAGGCCCTCAACCCTCAACCCTAAATAACCCCAAAGCCCGAAAATCTGAAGCCTAAACAACCCTGCCCTAAACCCTAAGCCTAAACCCAAAACCCTAAACCCCTTCAATCCCTGAACCCTAGTACCGTAAACCCCAAGCCTAAACCCTCCAGGGCTCTCGGACAAAAACCCCTTGGTTGAGGATTCGAAGCCGTCGGTGCAGGATTCAAGTCAAGCGTTTCTCTCTTGGACGGAGACACGTTTAGGTTTAGGTTAGGGTTTAGGGTTTAGGTTTTCTTGGGTTTAGACTTTGGGTGTTTGCCGGCGCGTGCAAGAAGAGATGAAAGTTGCCGCAAATCAGGAGTCCACACTATTGGGGGAGTCTATATACAGTCCTCCCTATATGTGGAAACTCCCGCATCTTCTGAATCGCACGGCATGTCTGCGCAACCCTAAACCGTAAACCCCTGATTTAAACCCTAAGCCTTCAACCCCAGGTTTTAGGGCTTAGGGCCTTTTTACCCAAAACTTAACGCCTAGACTATAGTAGGGAACCCTGTTTGGTGCACATGTAAGGAGGGTTTGCGGTTTCGCCGTTTCAGGGTTTAGGGGTTACCTAGACCCTAAACCTCTAACCCTTAAACCCTAAACACGATAGGTAGACTCAAGACCAGGAACACGCCAGTACCAGGGGGAACCTCCGCTGGGCTCGATGCGCCCGGCCTGGGCCACGTCGCACCTGGGCCGAAGCAGTGGCAGCGGCCAGAGATCCCTACGGTTGGTTGGGTTTTTGTATCTTGCTTTAGATTTTCAGGGCTTTCCTCCCCAGGTTTCTACAGGGGCAGGTATGTTGTTCTTGCCTACTCCTACAGTTCATGATACGGATCTTGCATTGCCCCATATTGAGGAATATACCATAATCCCATAGTTTCGGGTCCTTAAGGTACTGAAGGAATTATTAGATCATCAACAGTATGTCAATTTCACGGTTTGGGATTCATAGGCTTCAAGGGGTTTAGGGTTTAGAGGTTAGGGTTTAGGGTTTGAATTGGTGGTCAGTGTCACGTATTGGTAATCTTTACCAGGAAGAACCTTTCGGTCGAAGGATCCTCGTACTATGAAGTCTAGCCCAGGGCTTGTTCGGACTATGCAGCAAAACGAGGTTCTTGTAGGTTGGTGAGTTAATGTGTAGAAGATCCCACACACTGAAGCAGGAAACCAAAAACACTGCCAAAGTTGCATGGGTCCCAATGCTGCAGTGAGCGCGCAGCCACGCACCAAGAAACCACTAATAAGGGTTTGTTAAGCTTGGCCAGGAAGTCCTTGTGAATGGAAGGCATGTATCGGCCTTTACCCATTCTCATCCTGAACTTTAGACGTAGACCCTTAGTGCTGACCCCATATACCTGCAGAAGACTCTGTGCACCTCATGGAGCCCAACTTGCAGCAACAAAGGCGCCTGAATAATTACCAATGCTGTTTTGGGGTTCCTTAGTACCATCATTTTATGGTATACTCCAAAATCCTATTCTTATTTATGGCCCCTGCATTAACAGCAAAACTATGGACCGCAAGCTTCTCTATGGCATGGTATCGGGGTCGGAGTAATTACCCACAGTATCCCCCTTACAGCCCTCATATGAAGATACTAGAATACACCCCTAAACTTCATTCTAGCATTTAAGGACCCGACATCCCTCCCCTCCGCCGTGAATATCCCCGCCTGCCGGAAGAACCGTAACCCACCGGCACATCCAAGGTCGCTTGCAGGGCGGAGCACAGCAGCCTGGAGGAAGTCATAAAATTCCGTCAAGCGCACCTGGGCTTTTCAGCAAGTAATGTATGTATGTATGTTTCTGTAGATGCAAAGATGTATAGTTGTGTAGATGTGGGTATGTTGTGTATACATATAGATGCATGTCGGTATTTATGTATACACATGTGCATATGTTTATGTGCATATATATATATACATATATATAGGAACCCGTGTGTTTTTAGCTGTAGTTGCTTTATGTTGGTTTTTGTTGTCGTTGCGCGGACCAGGATGCCAGTGAGTGAATGAACCCCGGTTCCCGCAACCACAGCAAAAAAAACGCAACAACAGCAAAAAAACACACTTACCTATTGCCATGAAAGTGTGAACGGATGTACAAATATATATATATGTATATGGGTACACCTGTGTATATGGATATACGTATATGTGTACATGTATATTACTGGTTCAACATAATAGTCGATGTCCTTTTTGCAAGGGCTCTCGCCCTCTCTTTGTAGCTTGGCTTGAGCTTTCAGGAATGGCTACTGCGAGATCTTGCGACTTGCGCAAGATGTTCCGGGCATCGTGATGTGTTCCATTGATCTTAGCTATTTCGGAGCAAGCTGGTATGCACTGATGAAGCTAAGCTTGTCCGTGTGTTTACTTAGTTTGTACTGTGTGCTGCTGGTGGTCCTGTGCGCTGTGCCCCGTCGTGATTCCTCGAAAACTGGGATCGTGGTTGGAGCACCAGTTTCACCTTGAGATCCAGGCGACCGAAGCAGGAAGGCCAGCACTAATTCAAAAGACTGCGTGTAATTGAGGCCATGTCACTCGTTCCAGTGGCTGCCGACTGCGCAGGACTCGCCAAAGACTTGCGAGCCCGCGAAGTCTTGGGCACTTGCCGGGTGGCCCGTAACATAATGATAAAGAAGCCTGAAATAAGTAGTCGTAATTCTGAGCTATATTCATCCAACGTCGAAAAAATTATGTTAAAAATAATAGATTAACACAACAATTTCTACAAATTAAATATGAAAAACTTCGGCGGCTGGGAGATAAAGATCAGAATGGAATAATTGATGATACGAAAGGGTCTAAAATAGAATTGAAGTGGAATCGCCACGAGCACGCACTGCTCAGCTATTGAATATTGATTCATGAAATTGTGTTGGCTGAGAAATAGGAAAAGTCATATTAAGATTTGCGAAAGCGGTAGGATCTTGTAAAATGTAATATTTGTCGTTGATTTGGGTTTTTGACTTATATACTGGGTTTCGGGGTAGGGTATGTTTCTTATTAGGTTGGATCGAGAGATTTTGGAGAGTCTTCTTATGACTTAAGAGCTGTATACTGTAGATTACGATTATTTAGAGCTTTAGCAAGTCATTTTAGACGCTGAAAGACAATAATTTTTTGTTTCCCTTAGCACATTAGTTCGTATTCTGAAGTTTATATATTACTAATGACGGTGTAATATATTATGAGTGACTTATGGTTTGTATATTGTTATCTGTATATATTATATGTTTTAGAGGTCGTATTTTTTGGAAAGGTAAATTGAAATTTCATATAGATTCTACTCTAAAGAAAAATAAAATTAATTGAGAAAATATGAAAATATTAGAGATGGACTTTGAATTGTAAATTTCGTGTTTTATATAAATAAAATGATTAACGATAAATATTGAATTTATAGATTTTTATTTTAAAAGCAAAAAAATATCGTGAATGAATAATATTATGTGAATTTGCTCGCGAGGATTCTGATTTAATTTTATTTAAATTCTTTCATATATTAATAATTCGATTCTAATATTTATTTCTATATTGTCGAAATTTTTTTTTTCTTTATTGTAAGTTTCTAATATTTAATTAAAATTTAATTTCTAGGAAAAAAATTAGAATTAGAATTCTTAACATATTTTTTTATTCGCGTAATTTTGAAAGATTTGTTTATATTTTTTTATTAAGATTAGAATAATCGAGTTATTAGAATACGATTCAATAGAGATAATTTTAAATATTTCTAATTATATTAATACTAATTGCATCAAAATAAAAATAGAATAAATATAAATTGTCGTTGAATAGAAATTATATATATTCTATAATTTCCGAAAGTTTTGCGGAAGGTTTTTTTGTGTAGAGCCCTCGAGAAATCCATGAGATAAGTTATATAGATTAGTTATATTTCGAGACTTATATATCGAGAGATTTTCTTAATTTAATTTTTTTAAATTAACGTAAGTTAACTTAAACTTTACTTACGTAAGTTAACTTTATTTAACTTACTTAATTTAACTCAACTTACTTTTCTTAACCTAACTTAACTTACTTAACTCAACTTACTTAACTTAACCTAACTTACTTAACTTATCCCGACTTAAATGTCTTAGTTAAAGTTAAATATTCTTTCTAAAGCGGGAGCTAGCTACGACGCCTCCGTCGGGAATGCAATCCTTACCATGGATTGGCCTGGTCGAG